CCTCCCACGACTGGCCAAGTTTGGACAACACTGGATTAGGTACAAGAGATGGAGCCTTCTCAGTGCTGGCACCAAGATGCAGGGATGTTGTCATATTTAGTCACTGGACAGCAGTAAACTTTGGTGGCCCTGGATTACTTCTGTCAGTTCTGCTCTTGTTTGAAAGAGAGAATAGGTCTAATTCACACATCACACAAAGCTTTAATCGGTCACCCATGCTTTGTTGAATACCTTTGCACAAAATACTAAGCCACAAACCATGGTTCTTAAACCCAAGTGGCTGGTTTCAAGCTCTTGGTAGCCCACTTCAACTGAAAGCAAGAGCCTCTTAAGGTTTCCTTTAACAAGATTATTGGAATAGACGAGGATAAGATTACAGAAATCTCAGCAGCTGGGAAGTTTTCACTTTCAGAGCTCCATTCAACCTCTCAGTGAATTCAGAAGGATTTTTTCAGTCTTTGCTAAGATCTCCATGTGAACTGATAAGAAAGCTATTCTCTTAACTGATAAGAGAGAAATGTCTGGGTGGTCAGGATGTAAATCTCTCTCAGGCTTTGAACATATCGCAGCTCAAGCAGAATTCACACAATCCATCAAGCCAAATCCAAGCAAATCACATATGTTATAGCTTAATGTGATGTGTGAATTCAGCCAATAGTTTATTTCTAGTTTTCTGACTAATGGTCCTCCAAAGTCTTCCATGGCAGCTTTTCTCTGTTGTCTAGTAGACTACTTTTGAAGTCTTTAGACAGTAAAGATTCCAGTCTGCTTGTTCTTGAAGTGCTCTTTTCAGCTGCTGTTTTGTTTCTTTTCTTTTTTGGAGGGGAGTGGTGGTAGGTTCCTGGCTCTGTTTCAGGATTTTTTTCAGTGTTGTACAGCACATTTTTCCTTCAAATCCAAAACAATGCCCAGCCTGAACCAATACCGTAGTTCTGCATGCAAAGCAGCCACCCTATCACTTCTCATGATTCTTTCTCCTCTACCAATCCTAAGTGTAGAATAGTTAATCTCATTCTCCTCTTCCTCAGCACTGTTTGGGCTTCTCTTTCTATTGACCCTCCATCCAAGATGAGTTCTATAGAGCTAAAGCATCCATCTTTATTTTAGCAGCTACAGCACCTCCTCTCTGTCCCTGTTCATAGTTCTCCCATCTCACCAGCCATACCTTTCTCATAAGGGGTCTTCTGACTGCTTCCTCCACAGACCCACTCTTCACAACACTTGTTCTGTGCTTTCACCCAGTGGAGAAGGGGACAATCAGGGGAAGGGAGATGTGCCCCATCAATGCAAAGGGGAATGCAGCCAATGGCCCCATCCATGCAGATGCACTGCAGCTTACAACTGGGCTGGAAGCTCTCCCCATTTAGATAGATTTTCCCCAGCAGGTCACAGGTGGAGCCTTCATGAGCTGGAAGGGGAACGCAGAGGTATGTGTGAACAGGAGCTCTATCACAGAATATGTATGGTGCACATAAACGCCATCACACTTGGGCAGGATTAAACAGAATGGAAAGCTGTGCATATTTTATTATAAATGTAACCATATTTTCTATCAAAACAGTCAAATGAAGGGGAATGGAAGGAAGGGGAATTTTCCACTTTCCATTAGTCTTTGTTTTAAATAGTTCAGTCATTTTTTCTCCCTTCCTTCTCTCTGCTTTCATTTTAATTACAACCCAATGAGTCTTCTGATGTCTGTAACCTTTGGTATTATCCAACCAAATGGCATGACATTTCCAGTGTTCTAGTTCCCATCACCCCATGCCAGCTTGCCAAATTTCACTAAGATGTCAAAGGGTAGCCATTTTTAGTATACTGCACAAAAGAATGAACACACGGATTGCCAATTATCTAAACAAAATAAAACTTTCAATTGTCTTAACCTTTTCTGTCTCTTTTTGACTACTCATGACCTTTGAATGAACTAAAGTTCTCTTTCTTCCATGCAAAATAATGCTTCCACTGCAGAGCAATAAAACAAGAATAGATGCATTTCCATTCATTCAAATTCCCATTGATTGGAAATGAATGAATGCTTGCTTGGTTTGGTTTGGTTTGGTTCATCTGGAGTTTTTTCCCCCTGAACAGAATGAATGCACACTGAAGTCCTTGAAAAGAGGTTAACAAGTGTGTTCCATGAAATCTTGGGACATAGACTTGTGGCATCATAGAATCACTGAAATGGGAAGGGTGTTGATCAGCGTTCCCCAACTGGGGTAATTTTGAGATATGTGGACTTCAGCTCCCAGAATCTCCCAGCAGGCATGGCCACTACTAAGAATTCTGGGAGTTGAAGTCCATACATTTTAAAGGTGTCCAGGTTGGGAAACACTGCTGTAGATCATTCATATCTAGAGACCACACAAGAGATTATTACAGCCAATTATCCATGTTAGTAATTGGATAGTGCTTCTGCCCTTAAACTGCAGATGAAATCTATCTTCTTATAATTGAAGCCCACCAAAGAACAAGCTTTTTGCAGGCTCAGAGTATTGGGAAGGACTGCTTAAACCATCAAGTCCAATTCCCTGCAGAAATCCAAATCAAAGCATCCAATCTTGACATACACAACATCACAGAAGGGAACCCACCACCTTCCCCATCACTGGTTCCAGTAAATTGATGTTAAGAAGTTTTTTCTGATGTTCAAAAAGAATCTGCCTTCCTGTAAGTTAAGAAAATTATTCTGTCCTATGTGCTGGGATGACAGAGAACAAGTATCTTCTGTGCAATATTCTTTCAGGGACTTGAAAAATGCTATCATATCTTGCCTTCTATTGCCTTTTTTCAAAGCTAAACACAGCTGGTTCCTTCACCTCTCCTCCTTTGGCATGGTCTCCTGTCTGTCTGTCTGTCTGTCTGTCTGTCTAGACTCACAACAGCCAATAAAAACAGCAAGATAAAAACAAAATAAACCCTTCCCACCAGGTGCCAGGCCAACCTTACTATTGACCCCCTGACTCACTCCTATCCTAGCCTAATGCTTGGGGGAAAAGCCAGGTCTTCAATCATCCTCATTACCTTTCTTCACCATTATTCCAAATTGGTGCCCAAAAAGAGGGTAGTTGGGGGATCAACATAAAATTGAGTGGAACAATTGTGATCCATGACATGCAATTTATACTTCTGCTCTTGTAAAAGGAGAAGAGTAGGAGCAACTCACCTAAACAGATGCCACTGTCTTTCTGGATTTTGGAAAAGTCACAGTAGAGCCCTTTGTGGTGATCACAAGGTTCCTGCAGGGAGCACAGCTCCCCAAGCTGCCGAGAACATACTTTGCAGCAACCACAGCCATCTAGCAAAAGGCTATTGCCAGGAGGGCAGGAGGGAGCCTGTGAGGGACATTGGCAAGGGTAGGAGCATGCCTGAGATGCCACCTAGAAAAGAAATAGAGACCCAGCAGTGCATGAACAACGGTGAGCCCAAATATTTTTTCACTAAAATATCTGCCACTCAGACACTGACATATGAATTCCTGTATGACACATGATATTCTACTGTTGCCATCCAAAGCTTCTGGATGAGGAGCCAGCTTTCAGCTGTCCTGGCTGCAGTAAGAAAGCAGAAGGCAGAGGAGAAGAAGTGAGGTGCCCCATGATATCCGTGTGGCTCCCATCCTGATAGCATTCTGAAAAGCCCAGAAGAACCTGGATGTTCTCCTAGGCCTTCAGTTAGGATGGTTGGGACCCCTGTTTGGGGGTGTGGGTGCTGTTAGCTGGACTTGCCATCTGTTCTTGTTCTTTATTTCTTTTCTTCTTCCTTTGTTATTATATTGCATTATTTTGTATTTTGTTTGGTTTTATTGTCCATTGCCCAGAATCAGTTTGGAGTTACTCAATGCCTAAAACACCTTGCTGGGCCCATATTATATCTTAAGACATTAGTAGACAATTCCTAGGTTCCTGTCTGGGACTCATACTACCAAAGAACACTAGTCAAATATATGATTCTTTTTGTTTGTTGTTTGTTTGTTGTACTGTGATGAATAGGAACATAATAATCTCATTATTATACTGCTGTGGCCCAAATCTCATTGCAGCTAAACCACCATTGACTGGGTTTTGACAACAGAAGTTTCTGAACAATGGTGAACCCTAAATCATTTTTAATACAAAAACCATTATTTGGGGCCAGCTTCTATCTTCAGTAATGCCCTGGTCTCATCTGCTCAACCTACAAGCTGAAATAGGATTGATGATGTTAATGTGAACTTTTCAGGCTGGGAAAATTAGTCATGTCAATGTTCATCCTGCTCCATAGGACATCTCTCCACTGCCATCCAATCCTCATGAGAATCCAGCTTCCATCTCTGCAGCTGTCTTAGTTGCAAGAAACTCTTGCATCAGGTCAGTGAACCAGACCAATCTCACCTCGGGGAATGAGCTAACATAGGCATCCCAACCCTGGCAGAGGACAGATTTACGATTCACGCAGGCACATTTGAGGGGATTAGCTGAGGAATGAGTTATGAAGGGCAGCCACATGTTTGGAAGAAGAAGCTACAGATTTCTGAGATTCCAAGACTCCACTGAAATGAAGCCTCAGGACATACATACACATGACTGAAATAAACACACATAGTTTTCTCCCCAGATCAAAGCAGAGCAACATGGACCAGTTGTAAGGAGGCTTTCTAGAGTCCTTGCCCTCTAAACACTTGAGGGCAGAGACGTGTTCTCCTCTTCATGGTAAGACACCCTGCACTGTTGATGATGCTATTTATAAAAATAATGCCATGATAATAACAATAAGAGCATGTTCTTAGATTTATATTCCACATTTGAAGGGGGGACGTCAAGGAGGCTTGTAAAGGGATCCATTTTTATTTCCATAAAGGCCATAGAGGTCGGTTAGGCTCAGAGGGTGTGACTGGTCCAAAGTCACCTAGTAGAGTTTCCATGCTGAGGTGCTGGGATGAAAACAAAGTACTCTGAATCCCCTGGAGACAGGGTAGGATGAAAACATAACTCAGGACTCTTATTAATGAAAGACATATGCCATTCCTTAATTGTTCATGAAACTTGGGGCTTTCTCTGCTCCACTTGCATTAGAATTCATTTCAGCTCAAGTTCTTTATTGGTAAAAGCTGCAGCCCAAAAAAATAAAACAAAACATTAGAATAGGAAGTTTCCAAATTTTCAGGGGCTGGGGAGAATCTCTTGCCAAGTGTTTCCTTCCATACAGTAGAGTTTTCCCATTGATCAATGGACAAATCTTTCACAATCAGTTCTCTTTCAAGAACAGTAAAACCACTGACTGCCCTGTGAACTTGATCTCTTGAGCTATGGAGAAGCCCATGGATGCGCCTCTGTGTTCTCCCCTGCTACCTTGCAACTGGGCAGATAGGTGAATTTAGACCAGTGTTGTCCAAACTTGGTCACTTTAAGATGAGTGGACTTCAACTCCCAGAAT